TAGACATATAAAGTAGTACACTCACAAGTATTTTTATTGTCATTTGTATCATCTGTTAGTGTTTATAACAATTATTATAATGCAAATTAAAGTGAATTTACATTTAATTGAGGCTGTTCTATTCTGATGAAGTAGAATAATTAGTTAACATATTAAATTTAATAGACATATAAAGTAGTACACTCACAAGTATTTTTATTGTCATTTGCATCATCTGTTAGTGTTTCATCGATATTATTGTCAATACTGATTGATGCATCAAGATCTGTATAAATTATTATTTTTTGTTTATCTGTACACATTAAAATGTTTGTCTGTGAATCATGAAATATCATTATGGTTACCTTCCTTCTGTTTTATTTTTGGGCACCACAGTTCTAGAAGAAGAGCTGTTAAGAAATTTTGATAGTGAACCGGTCAATTTTTTTTTTTCTTCGCGTTTGTTCTTTAACTTTCTTTTTTCATATCCAGAAGAATAATTTCTTTTGGATGACATTATAAATAACAAATTACTACAATAAATAGAAGTTACTTCATACTTAAACACTTGTAAAGAGGTCCGTAATCAGTAATCACATTACACAAATGAAATATTTGGAATGATAAGTGATAACACAATATTTCTTAATAGCAGACGCAACATGTTTACTAAATAGTTTTTGGTAAATGGTTTTTATTGTTTTTAAACACTATTACCATTAATAATACCCATTGAATTGTAGTATTATATCACTGACCGATAACTTATCTACTGATACAACTATTGATAGCTTATTAGTCTAAAACGTATGAAAACTACGTCTGATGCCGCCTCCTTTAAAAGGTTATAACTACTAAATCTTAATATAAATATTTTTTATATATGCTACCAAAGTATGGAGTGGAAAGAGGCCCTTCAAATTTGGGGGCCCTGTGCAAGTGCACCGCCTACACATGCGTAAATCAGGGCCTGTGTATAACACAAGTACGAGAAATAAATATCCGTAAAGTACATATTAGTGTGAATATAGCACATACACGATTCAATGATCTGCGGTTGTTATTTGAAATGATTCTTTCTTCCAAAAAACAAAAAAATCCGAAAAACTTTTCGCGTTGAACGTGCACCTACGCAAAATATCAAAAAACAATTGCGTGCTTTAAAATTTAATATTGCATAACATCGTATCGCTTATTCCAACCGAATTGGTTGTAATCTCTTATGATTGTATTTGTGCCATCGTTATAATGGGAAAATTCGTTACAGTCAACATGTTGATACAAAACTTTATCGACAGAATGCTCCACCACCGTGAAGGATTCAAATAAAATATGTTTCAATATATTATTTTTAAACTTTCTTTCAATGGCGGTCGTTAAGATACATATATACATACGTTAGTAGGTAGGTACTTGTGCACACGAATATTTGTGTGTATGTGTGTGTGTATGAGAGTATTTGACACGATACATTGGATCGTAGTAAATTATATGTCAATATTAAAGTGACCATATGAAATTATGAAACGAACCTTTTTCCTGTACGACGGGCATGTGTGCCGGACGGGAGGATGCAAAGAAGTGGTGGTGGTGGTGACCAACGATGTTTAATATCTAATGTCCTATAAATAAAATCGCATAGAGTCGTTAAACCGAGCACGCCAATGTGTGCCTGTGGAATTCGGGTTTGAAATATTATGAAATCGTGATATCCACCGAGTTATACTTTCAAATATTTATTACCAGCCACGCATATAAAGTATATCTATATGTGTTATGTGTGTGTGTGACCGAAAAATATTATATACGAAGAATCGTATTTTAAGTGCTCTGTTTATGCGACGATCTATCACCACGTCACAGTACAACGGGTAACGTCAAATAGGGGTTGGCAAAAAATATAATTTACGACCGCGTCAGCGGTAATACGACAATAATGTTCCTATAATATTACATAATGTATAGTTTCGAAATCTTGTCTTGGTAATTCGTATGCATATAAATATAATGTAATTATATAAATACAATGATTACATGGAGAAGAGAGTCGGATAAAAAACGAAATACGTTGTCCTATTGGAACATAAGTTAAATGCGTAAAAAGTACCTATTTTAAATGATTCTGTATTGATGGCGCTCACGATATTGGTAAATGTTTCCGCGTAATATCAAAGTAAAACGAATGTCAGATTGATATTATGATTATTCATGGGACGCAGAACCAATAAAAACGGAGCAGTAAATGTGAAAACATGATATTCCAGGCATTATAACATCTGGTCCCGGGAAAAAACACGTACAACAGGCAAAACTGCATATTGTGCATAATTTATAGTATTAATTAAGAGCAACTATTAGAATATGACAGAACTACTATCTAATGTGGAAGGAAACGTGGTAATCAATGAGTATATCTCGGAGGAAGTTAAAGAGTTCAAATACCTAGGAGTGACTATTAGCAACAACCATTAATGGAATCTCGAAGTCTGAGTTGTATGCGTAAGGTAGAAAGGGTATAATTTGCTTTACAAACATTTTTTAAATCTAAACAGTTCACTAGAGGTACTAAAGTCAAACTATTCATGAGTTATAGTAATACCAACGGTAACTTATGGATGTGAAATATGACCCACTACTTTGCAATCGGAAAAAAGTCTATTCGTTTTTAAAAATAAAGTACTGAGGAAGATTTGTGGTCTAGTGTTTGATACTAAGTTAAAGAAACGGCGTAGAAGAAAAATATTGAACCAAGAAAAATTACTAAAGTTCCATTGCTAACAAGTTATATTAAGTGTCAAACATTCAAATGGTTTGGCCATACTATGGGAAAAGCAAAAATTACAAGTACGAAAGTAGTAATCAAATTGGAAAAAGATCCAAAGAAAGGCCTAGAAAGCGGTAGATGTATGTAATAAGAAATGATTTAGAAACACAAGAAGTTACAGATTGGGAAAGCAGAATCCAGGATCATAGTGATTGGAAAATAGTGACGGTGGTGGCTAAAATGTTTACAGAATTGTTAAGCTAAGAAAGAAAGAAAGAAGGAAAGTAGCAACTATTCATGTTCAAAAATATTATGATGAGCAATTAACATATAAAAACCATTTACTATTTCGTATTGGCATTCATTCCTATTGTTATATTGGAAAATTCTTAATTATTTTTCCGCTAAAATCTTTATACTTTTTCGCTGCGTCTGTTTTCATAATTTCTATGGTATAAGCAGATTAAAATTTCTGAGTAAAAGGATTAGTGACATTTTCGGTTTAATCACATTGGCGTATAGTTAAATATTAACATAACAATAATAGTTGTTGAATAAATGTATTATGTATATAAAATATGCATACATATTTATTTAAGTTTAATCAAATGAAATGACTGCAATATGTAGAATAGTTTTAAAAAAACCAAAATTTAATAAGAAATTGAAAATTAACTTATATATTACAAGATAATAAGTAAATGAAAGTATTATAATTATTTAATGAATGGTGTAGACTCGTTTGAAAACATTTAGTTCAACGAAAAATAAAGAAGTTACTTATTAGTACTGCCAAGTATTAAAAAAGGAAAACATCCAATAACTTATTAATAACTCTAAGTAACAGCCGCTATAAAGGATAGTTTCAGACTAAAAATTATATTATTTAAAAATATTATTATTTCTTATTCGCAATTAGATGCATTGCAGTGGTCAAAACGTTATCTATCTTAGCTACTGTAAAAATGTATACGTTTAAAAACGTTTGATTTATGTAAGTATTTAAAATGTGTGTATTACTACAATATTAACATTTTTAAATATATTTTTAAAATGTTGGTTGTAAAATAGAAAAAAAAATTATTTTACAGTTTTGAAAAGAAAGTATAGCAATACATAACTGTGAAATAAGAATTATTAAAAAATATAAATTTTTATTTAAAATACAATAAATGTTGAATGATGATTTAGAGGCCAATAATTTTGAATGTTATTGTAGTAATAATAAATAAATTAGTTTCTATTGAACAAAAATATATTGGTTTTCATCCTTCCAATCGTTACAATTTGATATTAAAAATAGTTTTAAAATCAATTAAGTTAAATTAAAGGAAGAATATATACGGGCATATCGTATACACATATGTAAATATATTATATGTAGAGGCTACTTAATTATTATTTTATATTTCATATAGACATTAGTAAACATTTTTTTTATTTAAATGAACTTAAAATTTTTTTTAAACTTAACTTATGTTTGATACAAAAAAATTATTTTGTCATAGTATTTGTAAAAAATATTTATTGAATAATGAATTATGTATAGATAATATTTTTAGTTTGAATAATGTCATTTATAGTTACTTTCAGCAAAAACATTTTATAAGTAAATAATGTCCCAAAATTAAACAAGTAATGAAAAATTAATGATGGAATAATAAATAATTTATTAGAAAAATCAATCAGTTTGGTTTTATTATTTTTATTTATTGTATGATTTTATTTTTCATATTTTTCCAGATGAATGAATATATTATTTGACTCGAGCAATAATTGATTATAAAAATTATAATAATTTTACGTAAACACACGTACACAATCACGCATTGTGCATAATTTGTAGAACATAAAATATTTAATCTAAAATTTTCATAAATGTGTACAATAGAAAAATGTTGCTTTAATGGATAGCCACTCAAAAGCTTAAAAAAAGAAAATCTAAAACGTGATTGAAATAATTTATTCATTTTGTGAACGGTGCAAACTAGAATTTTAACAAAATCGTGTAATCATATTAATATTTTTTTCGAGCGAAAACCGTTCAGATCGAATGCAATGTCCCGCGCGTTTCATCAAAGAACATTCGAAAATAATTGTATTTTTTTTTCCCGAGACAATTTTATCGG